CCCCCCCCCCCCCCCCCCCCCCCCCCCCACAGACGCCCACTGCGACGTCCTCTCGGACGACCCAGCAGAGGGCCTGACCGTGGCCCTCCCCGACGCGGACGCCGAGCTCGTGCCCTTCATGGAGAACGTGACGATCGCGTGCAACGAGATCGGGAAGCCCCGGCGCAAGACTGCCTCGGCCGACTTCCGTCAGTGCGTCTACGACCCGAGGCCCGGCTTCACCCTCGACTATTGGTATGTCCGCCTGGGATCCGCCGACTGTCGGTTTTGATGCGTGAATCTTCTCGGCGGGAGAATAATACACCAGCTATGGAAACTCCTTCGACAAATTCTTTCGACAAAATTTAATATTAGAAATTATTCATATAATTTATAATATTTATTATCTAATTTTTTATTTTTTATTTTACCTCCTGCCTCTGTCGATTCGCCGCTTCCACCCTCGGTACCCCTCTCAATTGACACTCGCAATTGACCCCCCCAGGCTGGCAGGTGCCGCCCCGAGCTGCCCCCGCATCAACTGCGGCGAGCCGCCCGAGATCCCCGGCTCCACGTACGGCTTCTACGTCGACACCCGCTACCGGTCCTCCTTCTTCTTCGGCTGCGAGGAGATGACGACCCTGGCCGGGAAGTCCAAGTTCAACGACAATGTCGTCAGGTGAGCAAAATTCATTCCTTGATTTTCAAAATTAATAAAAATGGGGAAGTAATTAATAAATATTTAAGTCGATTCGTTTTTTAATGCTAATTTGCTTGGCCGAAACGCGAATTGAAAAGACTTGAAATCCATGTGAAACGTCGCTAATGGATATTAAAATCGGGCAACCCTGTTTTCGAGCCGACCCTGTTTCCTGTCGGGTTTCATGCGGGTTAAACAAGCGACGTTCTGAGAGTGAGAGGCTCAATTGCAAATTTTAATTTGCTCGTTAGTCTCGACTCCATTATTTTTGCTTCAGCATTTGAAATTCAGATTCGAATTTCGCTCTCAAAGAATGGCAATTTTTAAGCAAATACTTTCATGCGCCATAACGTAACGAAGGTAAAATGTAACGAAGGCAAAATGTGTCACGACCTTTTTGCGCCTAGAGAAGTAAATATATTTTGGACGGCCCAAAAGGCTTTTTAGCGGAAATCCTACTCTGTAAAGCGGCTTACAAGGAGATGGAAGACGAGATGAAGACGCCCGGATGGAGGGCCAGGCGATGCCTGGATAGAGGCTGCGATGCCTGGAAGAATCGGATTATACGGGATGGACTAGCTTAAAGGTCGCTTGGCGTGGGGTCGATGACTCCGGGGATGGGGAGACCTCGCTCCCGGTCCCCGCCTATTTTATTTATTATTTATTTATTTATTTATATACATAATTATATTTAAGGCTCGCAAGTAAAGAAATGACCGGAATCCCTTTACAGGTGCCAGGAAGACGGAACGTGGGACTTCGGCGACCTCCGCTGCGAGGGCCCCGTCTGCGACGACCCCGGCCACCCCCCCGACGGCCTCCAAGTGTCGGCCAGCTACGAACAGGGTTCGCCCGTGTCGTTCACGTGCGACCGGAGCGGCTACATCCCCATCTCCCCGCTCCCGATCAAGTGCGTCCGGGAGCCCGAGTGCCGCGTCATCGTCCCCATCGGCCTCACCTCCGGCAAGATCCCCGACTCGGCCATCAACGCCACCTCCATGCGGTCAAACTACGAGGCGGCGAAGGTCAGGCTCAACTCCGCTACGGGATGGTGCGGGCAGCAGGAGGCTTTCACCTACGTCTCTGTCGATCTGGGCGCCGTGCATCGCATCAAGGTCTGTTTTTTTTTAAAAGTATTTAATTTAATTATTTTATTATCTTATTATTTTTGTATTTAATTTAATTAAGTTTTTATTTATTCAATTTAATTGTTTGATTATTTTCTTTAAAATTATAAATAAATAAATTTAAAATAAATTTCACTTTTAAATATATATGTATTTAAATATATTTTGTCTTACTTATTTTACTTATTTATTTCACTTGTTCCGTTACGAGTTCTTCTTCCAAGCGGTCGTTTTGCCGCGTCATTGTGACGAGGCCGGAAAATAAAACTCTGCAGTCTTCACAGCTCGGCAAGTTGAATTTTAATCCCGTTTGAATGGGACACTCAAAACGGATCTTTAAACGAGAGGAAAGAATTCGGGACGAAATTTCGAGAAATTCCAGGTCACGTGTGACTGACCTCTAGGTGGAAAATAGCGCGGAAACTCGCCCGTCATCACGCGTTTAATCGCCCTAATCTTTCTCCAGCGTCCCGAATTTTCTCGAAATTCTCGGCGGTAAAAAATTGGCAACAGTTGCCGGAACGTGACTTGGAATGTAATTTTTTTTCCGGGAAGAGCCACGTCAAATCTAGCATTCCTGCACTTTATTATTATTTTATTATTGTTTATTGTTATTATTTTTTCCCTCCAGGCGATCCTGGTGAAAGGCGTGATCACCAACGACGTGGTCGGCCGGCCCACGGAGATCCGCTTCTTCTACAAGAAGCAGGACTCTGAGAACTACGTCGTCTACTTCCCCAACTTCAACCTGACGGCCCGCGACCCCGGCAACTACGGGGAGCTGGCGATGATCACCCTCCCCGTCTCGGTGGAGGCGCGCTTCATCATCCTCGGCATCGTCTCCTACGACAAGAACCCCTGCCTCAAGTTCGAGCTCATGGGCTGCGAGGACGAGCCCAAGGCCAACCGCGTCCTGGGCTGGGACAACGGGTTCCCTGCCTGCGTCGGTCTGTGTCCTTTTTCCATCCGATCATTTTTTAATATAAGTTTTAAATACACTAATTATTTATATCATTTTAGTTCAATTATTTTGCTTCAGTTTTAATTAAGTTCTGTTTTAATTAATTTATTTAAGGAGTTAAAATAATCGAGTTGGGTCGGAATTGCAATTTAAGAAATTTCTGAAATTAAAGTAATTATATTCAGGGGGATTGTTTCGATGGGGTGCACCGAGGTGTGTCCGACGGACTCGTTGAGATCTCATGGCCTAGATAAGGTTCATCCTCATGCATGAGGCTCATCCTCGTGCATCAGGGAATCGCTCGAAGACGGATGAATATTTTTAATTGCATGTTTGAGACTGATTGCACTCGGCAAGGAAGACTCTCCTGAGAACAGCTGTTAGATCTACGGCTGGTCGACATATGGCATTTAAAGCGGGGGGTATCCGCCTCCAGAACGACAGAATCCATGGCTCAGTAATAACAATGGCTCGGTAATGACGATGGCTTGGTAATTTGTTCGACGTGCAGACAACGAGCCACCGCTGTTCCTGTATTGCCCGACGGAGCCGATCGTGGTTCGGCGGGGGCCGAACGGGTTGGAGCGCGTGAACTTCACGGAGCCGGTGGCGACGGACAACGCGGGCCGGATCGCGAGGACGGAGATCCGGCCTAAGGGTTTCCGGCCGCCGGTCTACGTCTTCCAGGACACCATGGTCGAGTATCTGGCTTACGACTTTGACGGGAACGTGGCCATCTGTCAGATCAACATCACCGTGCCGGGTATGCGTTTCCATCCTCGAATTTCCTTCGTTCCGTTGGATAGATTGGCTGATTTGCAGTGTTAAGATTTTGTATTTTCTTGCTGTTCGATTTAAGTTCTTCAGTGCAGATTCCAGAGTAAAAAATAATGTAATAACTTCTTTTTTTTTCACGGAATATTGAGTATCCCTGCTTGCTTAACTTTGAAAACGCGTTAAAAACTGGACGAAGAGTTTTCACGTTTCCCGGCTTGACGGCTGCGATTTCCCTCCCGCAGACGAGACGCCACCGTCGATCTCGTGCCCGCAGAGCTACGTGATCGAACTCGTGGAGCGACAGGAGAGCTACCTGGTGGACTTCCGGGACGTGGTGTCCCGCGTGAACGCGACGGACAACGGCTCGAACGCGACCGAGATCGAGATCACGTTCATCCCCGAGACGGCGACCATCCCGGTGGGGGCGTTCGAGAACGTCACGGTGCTGGCGACCGATGCGGCCGGGAACCAGGCCACCTGCCATTTCCAGGTCTGGCTTGGTTCCTTTTTGGGAAATGGGGCGGGGCGGGGCGGGAGGGAACAATTTCAACAAGAAAGGGCGGGATTATTATGATGGAAAAGGGGGCATGAAACGAACTCATGAATATCATTCATTTCAATGCTTCTTGACAGGTGTCAGTGCAAGCGACCCCCTGCGTGGAATGGGATCTGGAAGCCCCAGCAAACGGGGCACTCAACTGCCTGCCGAACGAAGAAGGCGACGGACTGAACTGCCTGGCCTCTTGCACCACCGGTTACCGGTTCACGGACGGAGAGGCGATCAAGACTTACTCTTGCCGGCGACGGCAGCCCTGGTCTCCGACACGGGTCATACCGGACTGCGTCCCTGAAGGTCAGGATCCAACCGGATCGTGTCTTCAGCGAAGACTTGCGCGGCAGGAAGGACTTGACGCGGTATCGTTTTGCATTGCAGATACGGCGCTGGCCAGCTACGACGTCGTGGCCAGTGTGACATACCGCAGTAACGGGTTCCTGGGTCCCGCCTGCCTCCAGCAGTACGTGGGTCTTCTCGAGGCGTTCTATGAAAACCTGGCCGAACGGCTCAGCGAAAGGTGCTCGGCCATCAACGTCAACATGGATGTCAGGTTCCTTCGGGCGACGCCGCAGATCATCTCTGAGAATGTCCTTCAGGTGAGAAAAGGAACTTGTAGTGTCCCAGGGCCCTGTGAGCAACACTGAGATGTAGGAGTGGTCGATGGAGAGAAGTAAAGTGATCCAAATAAACATAAAGATAAAAATAATATTTATAATAAAAAAAATTGGAGTCTCAGCAATTTTCTAAACTTGAATTTCTGAAAGTGAAATTTTACATCGCCAGATCGACTACACCCTGAGGATAGCACCAGCCGTGCGGCAGCCGCTGCTCTACGACCTATGCGGCTCCACCCTCGGTCTGATCTTCGACCTGTCGGTGCCGTCCACGTCCGAGGTGATCTCCCCGCTGCTGAACGTGAGCGCCATCGGGAACCAGTGCCCGCCGCTCCGGGCGATGAGCAGCACCATCTCGCGGGGCTTCACGTGCGGGGCCGGGGAGGTCCTCACCAAGGTCAACGAGGGCGTTCCGCGCTGCCGTGAGTCTCTCCTCCGCCTTTCCATTTTTTTTTTATATGTCGAGAAGGAAATATAGGAGGGGGGATGAGAAGTTGTCAGATGCGTCTGTGGTTGGTTCGTTCTGGAAGCTCATGGAAGAGACGCACGTAAATGGATTTCTCAGGTCATTCCGGTATTTCGAGTTTTTAAATTAGCATTATATTCAGTGACTATATTCAGTCTTATCGCTGTGTGAGGGGAATTTAAAGTTTACGAAAAATTCTTGGGAATTACATTCCTTGGAAAAATTCTGAATGCCGAGATCGCTACCGCGTCAGCATCCAGCTTTCACGTTATTCTTCTCTGCTCTTCCTCGCATTTATATATTTTTTGTCACGTCTGCATCCGTCGTTCTCACCACTGTTGCAGTGCATTGCCCAGCCGGGACGTTTGCAGCTGACTCCCAGTGTCAACAATGCCCACGCGGCCACTACCAGGACCTCACGCGCCAGGATCAGTGCAAGCGGTGCCCAATGGGTGAGCTTCTCCTCCTTTGTCTTCCAGTGTCTTCTGAAATCCTCTGTCCTCCACTGCCTTGTGGCGCGAAACGGGAAGACTGAGCCTTTGATGTTTTGTAGGCACGTTCACCCGAGAGGCAGGGAGCAAGAGCCTGCTGGAGTGCGTGCCGGTGTGCGGGTACGGTTCGTACAGCCCCACGGGGCTGGTGCCTTGCCTCGAGTGCCCGCTCAACTCCTACACCGGGGAGCCGCCGTCCGACGGGTTCAAGGAATGCCAGCTCTGCCCGACCAACACCTTCACGTACAAGCCGGCGGCGTCTGGATCTGGTTTCTGCAGAGGTGGGTCGAGTTTATCGATTGGAGGATTTAGGTGGATTTAAGTTGAATTTAAGTGTCCCCTCCGGACACTTAAATCCAACCGTATTTTGGTTCGATGCTTCCGCATGTTTACTTACTGTTATAGATTTCATTAGTTACCAGTTTTTTACTTCGGGTCTGATGCTCAGTCGTTAAAAACACCGACGGTTTTTTTTCCCTTCAATAGCCAAGTGCCGTCCCGGGACTTACTCTGACACAGGCCTTGAGCCGTGCGCCTCGTGCCCGGCCAATTTCTACCAACCGTTCGAGGGTCAGTTGTCATGCTTCGAGTGCGCGTCCAACGAGCGCACCACGCGACCGGGCTCGGAGAGCCGGTCGTCGTGCAAGGAGATCGAGTGCCCGGCGAACAAGTGCCGGCACGGGGGCCTGTGCATCGCGGAGGGACACGAGCCGAGATGCTACTGCCCTGCCGGTTTCATTGGCGACATTTGCGAGGAGGATCTGAACGAGTGTCTTTCGGAGCCGTGCTACAACGGGGCCACATGTGTCGACCTGCCTCAGGGTTATTCCTGCACTTGTCCTGCAGGTCTGTTTGTAATTTCAGTGCAATTCGGTTGTATGTAGAGATTTAAAAAATCTTCATAGGTAGTTATTAATTATTTATCATTATTTTCATATTGATGTAAAATTGCCGTTTTGACTCGGCAGGATACACGGGGCTCCAGTGCCAAGACGAGGAGAGCGACTGCCTCGACGACCCCTGCCCCGACCGAGCCATGTGCAAGGACCTGCCCGGGATCGGGAATTTCGAGTGCCTCTGCCGCTCCGGGTACACGGGACCGAGCTGCAACGTGACCCTGGACCCGTGCACCATCGGGGGGAACCCGTGCACCAACGGGGCCCAGTGCGTGCCGCTGCAGCAAGGGCGGTTCAAGTGCGTCTGCCCGCACGGATGGGAGGGTCGGCTCTGCGATAAGAACATAGGTCGGTTCCTTAAACCATTTTAAAGTTTATTTTCGGATTTGTTCTAAGAATTCCTGACCCGAATTTCGAAAGGGGCTAATGGTTAATCTTTAGGATTAACTTGGCTTTCTGAGTTTCGTAAGAAACAAACGTTGAGTTTTAAATTGCTCGATATTGAAGGCCCTTTGAAAAAATGTTCTTAAACACATTGACTGCCCATCCCAATATGCTCTATCCCAATTCTGGGAATCTCCTGGCTGGGGCTTGCCGGAGGCCCACGCCTCATTACTTATCAAGCCACAGGATAACAGTGCTGAGGGAAAATAATGGATCGCTCGTCTAGTTAACTGGACATGGGCTTCCTGGTCTGGCCATTGATGACTAGTTAACTGGACATGGGCAGTCAACGTGTTAAAAAAAAAAGTCCTTTCAAATAATAGTCTTAAGAAAAGGTACTTAAAAAAAACGTTATTGGAGAGAATCTCTCGTTGATGCTCTGATTTTCTTTTCAGACGACTGCGCCGAAAACCCATGCCTGCTGGGAGCCAACTGCACGGACCTGGTGAACGACTTCAAGTGCGACTGCCCCAGCGGGTTCACGGGGAAGAGGTGCGACCTGAAGGTGAACCTGTGCCAGGGGAGGCCGTGCGTCCACGGCAAGTGCGTCGACAGGCTCTTTGACTACCAGTGCGTCTGCGACGAAGGGTGGACAGGTGAGGGTTCGTCTCAATCCGGGGTGGGTCGGGGTGATTCGGCAGAATCATGGTAATTGCTCGGATTGTTGGTAGTAGTTTAGAATGATGGCAATTGTTCAAAATGAATTTTCGAATTGAACTTAGGTCGCTGTCGAAAGTGGCTAGGCGTCCGTGAATTTCTCGAGACGGAGACAGAAACGCAATATGAATAAATCTAAGACTTAAGGGAATCCAGGCGTTTGAGTGATATGAAATCGTGAAAACCAGTTTTTTTGCTGCAGTAGCCTGCTCTGCAAAGTAGGCAGGGACATTTCGGAGCCCTGGGTAATATTACACTTGAAGGGCTTTCCTTATCCTTGACATGAACAAGCAATGCTTTCGAGAAGCTACTTTAATGAATTTTTTTCTCTCTCTTCTGGGACATTCTGAGTCATTCAATTTCACATGGTGTTCAGGGATTACTGAAAAATGCGATACCAGTACTACGTACCATTTTAATGATACCGGTTCCTCGCTTGCTAATTCACTGGATTGGAATTTCTCAGGTCGAAACTGCGAATCGGACGTGAACGAATGCGAGAAGAATCCCTGCGAGAACAACAGCGAATGCGTGGACGAAACGAACGGGTTCAGGTGCACGTGCGAATCGGGCTACACGGGCGCCAGGTGCCAGCACGTAGTCGACCACTGCTCTAGCGAGCCCTGTCAGAACGGCGGCACGTGCATCAACGGACTGGACGGGGCGACCTGTCAGTGTCGGCCGGGTTTCGTGGGTCTCCAGTGCGAGGCGGCGACGGACGAGTGCCAGTCGAATCCGTGCAATCCGGTGGGGACGAAGGAGTGCCTGGACCAGGATTTCGCATTCGAGTGCAGCTGCCGTCCCGGGTACGTCGGGGAGTTCTGCGAGACGAACGCGAACGAGTGCGCGTCGAACCCGTGTCTGAACGGGGGGACGTGCAAGGACGAGACGGATCGGTTCGTGTGCAAGTGCGCGCCGGGCTGGGCGGGGGAGAGGTGCGAGAAGGACATCGGGGGATGCACGGGGAAGCCGTGCCTTAATAATGCGGAGTGCCTGGATCTCTTCGAGGATTATTTCTGCGTGTGTCCGTCGGGGACGGACGGGAAGAGGTGCGAGGTGACGCCGGAGAGGTGCATCGGGTCGCCGTGCATGAACGGAGGGTCGTGCAGGGATTTCGGCTCGGGGCTGAACTGCTCGTGTCCGAGGGATTACACGGGGATCGGGTGTCAGTACGAGTTCGATGCCTGCCGGGAGGGGGTGTGTCAGAACGGGGCGACGTGCGTGGACAAGGGGCCGACGTATCAGTGCGTCTGTGCGCCCGGATACACGGGGACCAACTGCGAGAAGGACATACCCGATTGCAACCCCGGCAGTTGCCCGTTCAGCGCGACGTGCATCGACCTGGAGAATGCGTTCTACTGCAAGTGTCACTTCAATCTGACGGGCGAGGACTGCAACAAGGCGCTGAATATCGATTACGACCTGTATCTAAACGACGAGTCGAGAAGCAGCTCGGCGTCTTTGGCGGTGCCGTTCCAGATGGGGCCGACGTCGAGTCTCACGATTGCGCTGTGGGTGCAGTTCAGTTACAAGGACGAGCTGGGGACTTTCTTTACGTTGTACTCGGTGGGGTCGCCGTACATTCCGGTGCGCCGGAAGATCTTGGTCCAGGCTCACAGCTCGGGGGTGCACATCGCGCTGTTCCCCGACCATCAGGATCTGTACATCACGTATCGAAGCCAGATCCCGGTCAACGACGGGCAGTGGCATCACATCGCGCTCATCTGGGACGGGCAGACGGGGACGGTGACGCTGACGACGGACGCGGTCGTCGTTGCGTCCATCGAGGGGTACGGAGCCGGGAAAGTCCTGGACACGCACGGGTGGGTCACCCTCGGGTCGCCGCTGTCGGATAACCAGCCGTCGCTGGCGGAGTCGGGTTTCCACGGCAAGATCTCTCGCGTGAACGTCTGGCAGCGTCCGCTGGACATCCGGACGGAAATTCCCAAGCAGGTGAAGAGCTGCCGAAACGCGCAGGTGCTCTTCGACGGTCTCATACTCCGGTGGTCCGACTACGACCGGTTGGAAGGGAACGTGGAGAGGATCAGCCCGGCGACGTGCGGGAACAAGGTGTGCCCGGCCGGGTATTCCGGTCCCAAGTGTCAGAGCTTGGACCGGGACAAGGTCCCGCCGAGGATCGACTACTGTCCCGGCGACATGTGGGTCATCACGAAGAACGGGTCGGCCGTCGTGAACTGGGACCCGCCGATCTTCACGGACGACATGGGGGTGAAGCGGGTGGTGGAGATGCACGACTACGTCCCGGGCCGGGCGTTCTCGTGGGGCACGTACCAGGTCGCGTACGTGGCGTACGACGAGGCCGGCAACGCGGCGGAATGCACCTTCAAGATCTACGTCCTCTCGGAGTTCTGCGAGCCGCTGGAGAATCCGGTGGACGGGACGCAGAGTTGCAGCGACTGGGGCCCCGGAGGACGATTCAAGGTCTGTCAGATCGCCTGCAACCCGGGTATGAAATTCTCTCAGGAAGTTCCCAAGTTCTACACGTGCGGGGCCGAAGGATTCTGGCGGCCCACTCCGGACCCCACGGAGCGTCTGGTCTATCCTGCTTGCGCCCGTGAGTTTTCTTTCGCATATTTCTTCTTTTTTTTTTTATTTGACAGGATTTTACAAGCATGTATGTCACTCTCTCCCTTCAGCCGCAAGCGCAGCCCAGCGCGTCTTCAAGATCAACATGCAGTTCCCGTCTTCGGTGATCTGCAACGAAGGCGGCCAGCAAGTCCTCAGGGAGAAGATCCGCACCGCTCTCTTCAAGCTCAATCGGGACTGGCGAATCTGCTCAAACACCGTCGAATGTGAGCATCCTGCGATCGCCTTGTTTTTTTTTCTTGCCTTTGCCGCGACAGATGCTAGAATAGATGTTGGATTTCCTTAGCCAACGGAGTCTGTCGCGGACTGGACGTGAACGTGAAGTGCTCCCAGAAGGAAGCCCCCAGGGCGAAACGCCAGACGGAGGACATTGTCTACGAAGTGGACGTCTCCTTCCCTGCCGTCAAGTGAGAATCCCTTCCGATCTACTCTGGACGTGTTCTTTAAGGCGACTCGAGAGGATGTTAAGCGCTAATTATTTATACGCGTTGGAGTCGAATTCTTCTCTGTTTGGCAATTTGAATAGAGTGGATCTCATGGTCCATATTGAGGTAGAGCATGTCGGTATGCTATTGTGTTCGCTCGCGAGCGAGATAAACTTCACCATAGAATCTGTAGACGTTACGAGGTCGTAAGGAAGGGGAGCTTTCTTGTACCCACGATTGTGTGGAAATACAACCAGCTATATGGTTGAATCATCAAGGTCGTATCGTCGTATTAACAACAGTTGTCGATCACGTTCTGATCCCTTTAACTCTGGGAGAGGATATTTCCACGATGACACGTGACATTTTTGTATCCAGTGACCCAACCCGAAACACGAACAACAACATCCAATCGAGCATCAGAGCCCTCATCGAGCAGATCATCCTCGAGGAGAACGAATTCGACGTGTCGGACGTGCTGCCCAGCGTCGTGCCGGACCCGAGCAGCCTCAAGCTGACGTCCGACTACGCCTGCCCGATCGGGAAGGTGGTCGTGCCGCCCGACTGCGTCGACTGTGCGGCCGGGTCGTTCTTCGATGCCACGACGGCGACGTGTAGGTTGTGCCCCGTCGGGACGTTCCAGAACGAGTTGGGACAGATACGGTGCAAGCCTTGCCCCACGATCTCGGGGAAGCAGGGCGTCACTGCCAACGTTGGCTCCAGGTCCTCCAACATGTGCAAAGGTGAGTTGGGAGAGGATTCCATCGTTGCTTAGAACTCAGAACTGGAAAAATTCTTTAAATTGACTTGATTTAAACATTGATTTCGTCAGAACGTTGCGTCGCTGGTCAATATTACGACGTGGAAACGAGCCTCTGCCGGCCTTGTGGCTACGGCATGTACCAACCGGAGGAGGGCAAATTCTTCTGCATACCCTGTGGCCTTGGACTCACCACCAGAACTGACCAAGCTACCTCTGACCTGGTGAGTCTTGAGTGAACTTTCTAGTGACTGAGCTAGGAGCTCAGAGATATCTTGCACGACCAGTCGGACGCCTGTTTTCATCGCCGAGTCTCCCCAAAAACTTCAGTCTCATCCCCCATTAACATCTCGCAACCATCAACTAACTCAAGGTGCTTACTTGCTTTTAGGAATGCCGCGAGGAGTGCGACTCGGGATTCCAGTTGGGATTGAACGGAGGCTGCGATCCATGCCCACGAGGTTCCTTCAGGGGCAAGGGTGTGGACTTGGCGTGCAAGAAGTGTCCCGAGGGAAGAACCACGCTCGGATCCGGGGCCGTCACCATCGAAGACTGCTCGCTTCCCATCTGTCAACCTGGTAAGCTAGAAGACATTTTAAAATTCTTACGGTGAGGATGCAAAGTTTTGTTGAATAGCATCGGTGAACGATAAGAAAAATCTGAAAAAAATTGAATAAACGTAATAAAAATATGAACTATATGGAAAAAAAATGTTTCATGGCATCTTACAGTAAAAAAAATCCAAAGTAGCCTAATAAGCGAAGCGAGTCTTGAGCAAATCAGCATAAAATCTTATTCTTGTCTTCTCCAGGCACATACCTGAACGCAACGCAAGGAAACAAGTGCGTGGGCTGCCCGAAGGGCACCTACCAGCCGGAGGAGCAACAGCCCAAGTGCCTCGAATGCCCACCGAACAAGTCGACCCCGGGGACGGGCAGCAAGTCGGTGGACGACTGCACCAACCCGTGCGAGGTGGGAGGGAAGGAGACGCTCTGCCATCACCACGCCCAGTGCTTCTTCCAGAAGGAGACCAACGAGTTCTCCTGCATCTGCAAGAAGGGATTCGAGGGCAACGGCACCTATTGCAAAGGTTCGTCGCGTCCTGAGACTTTCAGATTAAATTCTTGCGGAGTCGAGGGGTTGACTTGTTAAGCATCGAAGCAAGTAATATTTGATGAAGGAAACGTTGTGGCACACTGCAGCATTCCTTCATTTTGCTAAAAAATCATTTCAGTTAATAGTCCCCTGTCAGTTATAACTTGGAGGAACTTGACCTAGGTAAAACAAAATAAAGCACACACACATTCCCCCCCCCCCATCGTAATCCCATGCGTCCTGCCTAGTTCATTGATGAACCTGAACTATTGGAATCTATTAGTATCATTTCGTTTCAAAGTGAACAAAAATGTCAATATGATTCCAGCTTTGAAATGCAGTCTTCATTCTTCAGTACAGAAGTCAGAAAAGAATTCGTTGAAGCATAAAAATGACTCATTACACTCACAGATAAATGCGAGAGTTACTGCGAGAACGACGGAACGTGCGAAAAGGACGACGCCGGGAACCCGTTGTGCAAGTGCCTCGGCAGCTTCACGGGTCGGACGTGCGCCGACAAGTCGGAGTTCGCCTACATCGTGGGCGGTATCGCCGGCGCCGTCATTCTCGTCATCTTCGTCGTGCTCATCATCTGGATGATCTGCGTCCGGACGTCCCGCCGGAAGGAGCCGAAGAACAAGGGTCTCATGGCGCCCCCTGCGGCCAACCTGGACCCGGCCGGTTCCGGCGCCGTCAACTTCTACTACGGCTCGCCCGCTCCCTACGCCGAGAGCATCGCGCCGTCGCATCACTCTACTTACGCTCACTACTACGACGACGAAGAGGACGCCTGGGAGATGCCTAATTTCTACAATGAGACTTATTTGAAAGGTAGGCTTTCCCAGTTCAGGATCTTGAAGAGAGGAGTTGCTCGAGTGTTGGGAGTAATTATGAGATGGGGTTTCATGCAGGCGTTTCGTGAATGAGCGGCATAAGTAAGCGTATAAAACGAGATTTTATGACTTACAGATTTTTTCTCGGTAGAGCATCAGATGAGAACCCAAGACCCAAAAATTATTGGAATAATTTCCTTTAAATGAAAGTTTCCAGATATCGCGTGCATGCAATGATGCTTTAGTTCTTCCGCCCGTTTCGCGCCGATCATTACAATTGCTTAAAAGGATCCTAGATATATACAGAAATCTTGCCTTCATCCCCAATTTCCATGCTAGCACGTATAAAAATGAAAGAAAAACATAAAATATAAATATAAAACATAAAAAACTAAAAATAAATATGCAAAATGGAGCATGCGAGAAGACCTAAATAGGGCTGAGAATGTGAGTGAGAAGATTGGGGGAAAAAAAAAACATTAATTCGATACACTCCATACTGAATAGCTTCCTCGGTACCTTTGTCCACAGAGAGCCTGCACAATAAAGTGAACAGTCTGGCCCGCTCCAACGCCAGTATATACGGGACACGGCAGGACGACCTCTACGACCGGCTCCGCCGACACGCTTACCAAGGCAAGAAAGGTGAGCCTCCACCCGATCAGTTCGTTTCATATCGATTGTGCTTCGAATCACTCGGTCGCATTTCGAATCACTCGGGGGAACTTCTTTTTTTTTTTTTTCTCTATCGCAGATAAGAGTGGGAACGAGACGACGAGTGACAGCGACCAAGATCAAGCGCAGTGAAGCAACAGCAGGGCTGTGCTGAATTTGCAGGAAAAATTTTAAAAATTTTCCACCTGGGCATGACAAAAACTTTATCGCAACTCAGAAGAGAAAATTTATCCTTTTAATGTGATGCGGAATGAGTGGGGAATGCAGTGCGTACGGATGCGTGTATCTATTTGCGCAGAGTGTTTGTGCGATCCCATGACCTTTGACCTCGTTCTCGGTTTTTCTCTTCCTCTTTTTAACTTATGTCGCTTTTTTTTTTTTACTTTTTGCACTTGACGGATGCCAGTCGGAGAGTGAGAGAGGAACAAAGAAGTCATATATGGAGATTTTTTTGTAATATGATGATGTTGTGACGTTGCTCAAGCAATGATCTGATGTTTTCCCTGTTGAGTCATCGTGACTTGTGCCTTCTTACATGCAAAATAAAACGCCAACTCTCCTTCCAACGCGTCTCAATTTTTGGAAAGTGTTCCGGAATGGCTTTGCAATTTCTCATTGTGATTCAGACAACCGCTGCACCTGGACGATTCCTCTTCAAAGCAACAACACGACTTTCTTTGTCTTTGATGAAACTCTCACCAGTTGCTATTGAGAAAGATATTGAGCAATAGCAATAGCCATTGCTATTGCTGGTGCTATTGAGTAAGTGAGACAAGCAGAACTTTCTTCCATCTCCCTTAGTTGCTGACTCCCTAGGATAATTTTTTGGAAAATGCAATGCTGCCCTTCTGCGAAACCTTAACCAACAGACTAAACATCAAAATCCCAAAATAAATTTAATTCTTACCTGAGATCAAAGATTGGAGATAGTTATTGTCATTATATCTTTTGAATCCAAGGCATGAAAGATTTTCCCAATCACATTAGCTTTTAGGAATAACGATTCTATATTTGACTAATCCATGTAGTGAGTCGCAAATCCCATTACCTACGTTGATTTTGGATTCCTAATGTAAAGGATTTCCTGAGCATGATTTGGCCTTGACCTTCACCAAAACATCTATTCATGGAATCGTTTACTCGATAATGTCCCAATTCGAAATTTTTTTGCAAAATGATTGAGCTTTACCTGGAGCACTTTGAACATTCTTCCTTTTATTACAGTGGGGAATTCTATAGGCGGTCCGAAAGATTTTGTACCTGAGAATGAATACTAAAATACTGAGTAAAATCAGAATTACAAATTTAATCATAGGAGTATTTGCAAGAGCAGAATCACGGTGTCAGCGATGTTACAACTGATAACAGCCCAGTCCCGAGCAATTATTACCCAATTATCAGTGGATTCCACTTATCTCAGTGCATATTGCAATTCACCTAATGAATCTATGAATCACTGTGCTCATTTTGCATCGATCCACACTTACCAAGGTTGTTTTAACAGGTTGGATGTGGAGGTTTTCATCATGTTGGAACCACCATTATACGGATGGAGTAATGCGAAAAACGATTTTCAATGGCTCCCCATTCCTTTAGACCCAACCCCCCCCCCCCCCCCCCCCCCCCCCCCCCCCCCCCCCCCCCCCCCNCTGTGCAAGATATCAATCCAGTCCCTTCCTTTACCCCCCCCCCCCCCCCCCCCCCCCGCCTCGTCTCGGAAATAGCTAGCCTTAGGCCTAGGCCTAACCGACTGCCTTCAGGTCACGCCAAGGACTACCTTTTTCTTTTCCAAAGAAACTCAGTTCTCGATTTACGGCGCCAATTAGTCCTATGAGCTTCAAATTGTCATGCTTTATATGTAGTTTTCATACTTTGTATAAATTTACCAGATCATACCATATATTATATACTATACATTTAATTATATAACTGAATATTACAAAACTAATGGGTGAAAGAAGGCCTCTGATGGAACTGAGCCATGTTGTGCCCATTGTAGCGTAACATCCCAAGCAGCATGTTTACGTAAACATTATATCAATATTTTGCGAAAAATGTAAATTTCTTGCGATTGCCATGAAAATGACATCACGTTTGCGTAAAATTTACGTTCCTATATTTACGTCACCTGGCGTCCGTTCCAATGGACATTGCATTTACATTGTGTCTATGGCAATTTCTTTGGATTCTCGTNAATTTCTTGCGATTGCCATGAAAATGACATCACGTTTGCGTAAAATTTACGTTCCTATATTTACGTCACCAAGTGTCCGTTTATTTTACGTAAACTAGACGTCACTCCATCTGACGTGAAGTACATAATACCAAGTTTATACAAAGTTAACATCACACTTTCCATATGAAACTTTGACTGACCATCCCACAGTTGCAATACCAAGATTCCTCACTAGATGGAATCCCAGCTTCATAAGTACTATACCTTAATGGAAGAGAACTCCTTCTAACATCTATTCCTCCTTCAGAGGCCCTGGTACGGGAGAAGGAACTAGTGAATCATCTTGGTACTCTTGAGTGCTGGTGAGAATGAGTACTAGTGTGTACTCGTCCAAGTAACCTTGAGATCCAAAGCATGGAAAGGAACGGGAGAAATATAGTGTATCAATTCTCTTCAAAAGTACGAATTAGCTCGTTAAATACGCATGAATGTTAGGGGGAAATCAACATCAATCTTACGTAAAATGAATGTAAACATGCTGTTGGGGATGTAAACGGGAATGTCAATTTTACGTAAAATTTACGTAAATTTTATATCACCGTTTACGTATTCCAGAGGTGACATTTCTGCGAACATGTTGACATTATCTTGATGATGGTTTGCATAAAATAGATATAAAATGGACAAAAAATTTACATTCAGTTTACGTAAAATTAACATAAGCATGCTGCTTGGGATGAAGCGAAAAGTAACGAGAATCCTATGAAATCGCCATAGACACAATGTAAATGCAATGTCCATTGGAACGGACGCCAGGTCTGAAAGGGTTAACTGAAAGGGTGAAAGGGTTAAGAACTGTTTCAATTTCGGTAGGTCTTCTTACCCTCCCTGCTTTAATTTCCTGACGCAGTTTGCTTATACAGTATATGCACAGGCGAACAAAACGTACAATAGCTTCTAAACTACTTGAAGTATTTTCCTGAAATGAAAAGCAATAAACACAGCAAGATCCAAGGAATTATGTTTCCATACTGAAAACCTCAAATGCAAATCAGAAGTATTTTAGAATTATTTTTGAGTAGAAATTTCAGCAGTAACACCGATCTGTCAAATTGTATTACCCTTGAGAAGCCAGAAGTAGCAAATATGGCTTTCTTGGTGCAATAGTGGCTCAATTTTGGCTTCCAAACAATACCCTGCATCAAGAAAGTGGCTATCTGTATCCTAATTTCATTTGCAGTAGTGTCTTTCCACTTCCGAAGTCAGGAAAATCTGAAGAGTGGCCAACAGTTCAAACAACTCGAATGAATCGTTCACGTCACTGATAGGAACGTTTATGCTGGGTTTGTCCCGTAAACTGGCGTCTTTCAATGGGTCTATTCAACTTATGCTCCACCCATTTCTTGGGTTTGGAGCACCAATTGATCTTCCTCATCTACTGACACTTTCGTTATCCTCCGAATCAATCGCTGCAACAATTTCATCACTTTCCCCACTTTCATCACTGTCTTATAGAATGTTTGGTACATCAGCATCACTTTCATTATTAAATAATAATGGAAAAAATTCATCGCGATCACGAAAAACACCAGTATTAGGTCTCTTTGGAGCAGCCACGTTTTGCAGATTGCAAGAAACCCATAGCTTCCTCTGAAATATAAATCTTTTTGCTATTATTTCTGATCAAACGTGACGAGAAACTGTGCGTAGAGTTACAAAAATATCCACTTTAGGGCTAGCAGACTCTTATTCAAGTTAAGCGTAACGTTACGTCGAAAAGTAACCGAATACAAAGAGTGTGTAGCAGCGCGTATTATTACGTCGAAAACAGTTAAGGGGTTCATAAGTTCACGGACCATTTCAGAGGACGTGTAACGTTAGACCGATTGGAGGCCTGTTTCGCGTTTCACGAACCATTTCAGTGGGACGTGGATCGTTCGGCCTATCTGGAGTTCCTCGAACCATCTCGAATAGGTCTGAGGTAGCCTTCAAGAAGCATGGATGTCTGGATGAGAAATCTGCATATCTCACCACATCGATCAATAAATGCTAGCCACCGCTCATTCTCAGCTCAGCTCATGAACTCGGCACGAAAATGTCTCAAATTAAAAAAAAAAACAAGATCCAGACGCCAAAACGAAGGTTGAAACAGTCTTGAATCTGGCATAATTTTGGCACGGTTGCTCGACGTATTCATTCACCCATGGAACGCTGGACAGTGCACGAACGCGTTAAGGCGGTGGAGCTTTTCATTCAGGCGAAGTCAATAGCGTCGACGCAAAGGGCATTCCGCCGCGAGCTGAATCGCCGCGATGCTACCGCTACTGGGTAACAAGAGAACCCACAAGTGATTCATCAGGCGTATCTCTACACTCTCACAGTTAATTCTGAACGTTTGTGGAAACGATGAGTACGTTTCTGCCAAATGAAATACACCGTTTACAGCTGCAGGGGGGAATCGGGTTCCAGCAGGATGGGGCAACATGCCACACGGTTCGAATCAGCAAGGCTACGCTCAGGAAAAATTTCCCGGGTAAAGTCATGTCTCGATATGGAGACAGGAACAGGTTATCTCGGTCCCCAGATTATATATTCCTGTCATATTCCTATAATCAGATATTCCTGATTATTTCCTATTGGGCTACTGAAAGCATCGTATGTTCCGAACACGACCTGCAACATGTGCGCAACTTTAAGACGCGAGATCTCTGCCATTCCAATGCTGCGACGAGCGATGCACGGCATTACTAGCCGTGCACAGGAGTGTGTCGATCGTCAGGGAGGACATTGACTGGATGTCATTTAACATTCAGGATTCAATCTAAAAAAAAAAACAAATCTCCTGTTATTACTCTTTATGACACCTAATGAATAAATAATGGCAAGCATTTTTTAACTGTTTTATTTCATGTGTAAATCCCCGAGTCGTCCATGAAACACCCTGTATAATTTATTATCTGCAAGGTCAGGAAGATGAATTAAAAAACAGCTATAAAACATTTCTCTAGCTTAAAAGGAATAGAAGTTATGAACATATTGAGTGACAGGGTGCCACAAGGTCAAACAGCACATACTGTTTTCGTTGTATCTTTAGATGGAAGTGAGGAAAATCTTCCGGGGGATTCACTTTCTCAATTGGTTGGAATTTCATGAAACTCTGAGAAAGTGTTTCGCAGTGTGTTCATTTTTGGCGTTGAATGACCCAACTGCTTTGGAATTACTTGAATATTCTCTTGAAGAGTAATTAATTTCTTTCATCAACTGCTTAGCTCTCCTCCGTGTGGAGAATCTTTAAAAAATATATATATTACTCTCCACAGAGCAAGTTCAGTATAAATTGTTTTGGCATTTACTACTTGAAAACATAAAGAAAACTTACGAAAGGCTTCC